AGTTGAGTACATTTCAGAGGCAATGTTGAAAATAAAGTAGTTAGAATTCTACTAACCACTTAGCATGCTATCTACGGCTTGGTGAAGACATAGAAAAATAAATCATGGAGACCACTGTGCCCACTTTGTATCATCATGCTCCTCAGGTGCTAAATGTGTTCTTCACTGGTTACAAACCAGGGTTCTCAGCCATGACTATACACTGGAATCACTTGGGGAACTCAATCTCACTGATATTCAGATTCAACCTCCAAATAGAATCAATCTGGGTTTCTGAGGGTAGGCCCCAGACATTGGCATTTTTAAAAAACCTCTTGGTACTCAGGGTTTAACATCTTCAATCTAATCATCATATAAGAAGTATCACTTATAACTCTTACTGTGTATAGAGGACTGTGCTGAAAATCTCTTACACATAAGGAAATTCATGCTTGGAGAGATGTTATTTACTTAATATCTTGCCACAAAGTAGAATATCATACCCAGTATATTTGGCTTCAGAACCAATGGATTTGAACTTGTTTTGAACATGGCACAAAATAAGACATGGAATTTACATCATAACTCAGAATACATATGAAAATAAAATATGAGTATTAATTAACAAATAATATATATATGTGTGTGTGTGTGTGTATATATATATATATATATATATATATATATATACACACCCCCCAAGGATTGAACCCAGGGACACTTAACCACTGAGCCACATTCCAACCCTTTTTTATATTTTATTTAGAGACAGGGTCTCTAAATTGCTGAGGCTGGCTTTGAACTTGCAATTTTCCTGCCTCAGCCTCCTGAGCTGCTGGGATTACAGGTGTGTTCTACCATGCCTGGCCTAACAAATATTTCTTAATCTATTAAGTAGAACACATTCTGATATTTTATTTTAATTGAAACATTAGTGGCTGGAACTGGGGAGTAGCTCAGTGTAGAATACTTGCCTAGTATGCATGAGGTCCTGAGTTGGAACCCCAGCACTGAAAACAAAAACAAAAATGATCAACAACAACAGACAATAATGGTAATATCCTGTAAAATCATTTCATTACTTTGTTTGAAATATTTTTCTAAATCATGACAATCTTGACATAACAGTATAGGTTTGCTTTATGTTCCAATAAATGTCAGTAACTTTTCCCTTCAATGCCTTCTCACTTTGTTTTATCACTTGGAAAGCACCTTCCTTTTATCTCTGCTTTTTCCCCCAAAGGCTATCAAGTTTCCTCCCTGCTAAAAAGTGTTTCCAAGAATACTCAAGTCCATAATGTCTCTTAATCTGATGCCTATTTTTTAAATTATTATTTATTTTTTAGTTGTAGTTGCACACAATACTTTTATTTTATTTATTTTTATGCCTTGCTGAGGATCAAAACCAGGGTCTCACATGTGGTAGGGTAGCTCTCTATCTCTGAGCCACAACCCCAGCCCCTCTCATGTCTACTTCCCCTGCTCCCCAAAGGCTAAGGGAGTTTTTAATTTTTTGTATGTGGAAAAAGTGGCAAAATTCTTTCGTGTTTTACAATGTTGCCTTAAAACAGATAAGGCTGTCCTTATTACCTTTCAAAAATACATTTAAATTCTAATACCAGTGTGAAGAGTAACACAAAATTGTGTATATAACTTATTCACATCAGGTTATAAACTCTAGCTATAAAACATCAAATGACATGAATAAATACCAAACAAACTTGTTATTCCATACAAATCCCAGACTATTGCTACAGATAATCTTAGTTTGGATAACACCAACTTAGTAGAGTGTTTCACCTTAATATTTACATTTAGCTAAATTTAGCTTTTAAAGTACAATTTAGAACTCATAGTGTATAGTAATCAATAATTACATGGGTTAGCTGTACTAGCAAAAATCAAAGGATAGTCTTAAATCTCTTATATATTTATGAAACAGGGTTCTCATACCTATTTTTAATGTGAGATTTCATCACTCATTTTTATACTAAATTATATGGTGTATTGTGATGCTCTGTAGTTGTTTTATGTCTTTGATGGTTATGTCTCCTTGACTAAATTTAATCTCTTTGAGGATAATGACCATATTCTATGTTTTTGCTTCTGTATGCTTCAAGGCAGGCACTCTACAGATGTGAAAGACAGCTCAACACAAGCCAACTTTTGAACTTTCATTCCTTTATTACTGAAGATTCCCTTTAGATTATTCTAAAGCCTCTTGCAGGTTTATGTCTGTTTTATATGATATGTAAGAAATTCTATAAAACTTACAAATTAAGGAAGAAAATATAAAACTCTTTTGATTAGCATCTATAAGAAAGTTTCTTGGGTGGGAAGAAAAAAGTAGAAATTGGCATTTTTTTGGTAGGCCAAAATATAAATTCTTTTATCCTATCTCTGAAAAGAAGTTATTGAATTGTTTAAATGAAATTGGACCCTGTGGCACTTAGATACTGACATGAGATTATTTATGGGTCATTTGTTTTTTCAAGTAGAATGAATATAAGGAATTGTTTGTAACAAATTCCTTGTAACAAGGAATTTTTATGTACTCATCTAGTTGAATTGCTTACAATGACATAAGGCCTAACAATGGATTTGGCCTTAGGTTTGGGATGTATGTTGGTGGAGTAATCCTAATTTTTAAAAAATATTTTTTAGTTATTGATGGGCCTTTATTTTATTTATTTGTATGTGGTGCTGAGAATTGAACCCAGTGCCTCACACATGCTAAGCAAGCACCACCACTGAGCCACAACCCCAGCCCCAGTTATCATAATTTAAAGGGAAACATTACCAAATACAAGTATATCTTGCATATTGTTTATTTGCAAGTAATGTTTTCAATATCACTGAGGACCTCCTAGTGGCTCCTGAGGTCAAAGGATATGGTTGGCTGGTTAAATTCCTTGCAACTCCACGACTATTGGTATGCTTGTCATTTCAATCTTTAGACTACTGCTAAAAGGGACAGATAGGTAGTTGGTTGGATATTGGGGAACGGGGGGTATCTATGGTTTTTATCTACAATACTCATTCCCCTTCTTTGCTAATGACACTTTAATTTTCCTTTGGGAAAACCTCTTACTTTCTACTCAGTTTATCTAGTTTGGTTGTATATGGATAATGGAACACTAAAGCTATTTCACTTGATGTTCATCTAACATAGGCAAATGACTTCAGTCAGTTAGTGTGCATTCCACTTCATGGTTATAATGGTTAGTTTCCAGGAGAGAGATTCTTGGTCTGCTCTCTTGCTGATTGGATCAGTTGCCAAGGTGGTTGGAGGTAAGCCTGGGGCTGCAGATCTTAACCTTGCTTAGAGAAAATAGAACAAGTATAATCAAAGCTAAGATAGGGAGAGAAACTGAACCCTGATAGTCTTTGGGCATCTGGAGGAAAAATAGAAAAGTTGCTGTACTTTTAGGATTTATGAAAATATGAGCCAGTGAATTTCAGCCACTTCTGTTGTAGGTTTTCTTAAGTCAGTTTGAGGTGGGTGTCTGTCACATTCAATTATCCATACTATACAGGCATTTATTATAAAATCAGGATATCTTCAATCTTGCTTACTGTTAATCTCCTTTCCTGTCTTCTGCTTTTATAGAGCCCAGAGTTTACTTCTTCTCTATCTGGTAACAGAAGTTTCTTTCAATTTTGCATATTTTCTTCCTGCCCTCTTCCCTCTACCAGTTCAGCATAAGCACTTCTTCACAGCTATAGGTGGCAGAAGGGGAAGAACTAAGATGTTGGGGTCTAGTTTCAGGCCTGTGATGGCCTGAAAGTGTTTCAGGCCTGTAAGTGTTTTTGTGTGAATTAGAAAATACCATTTCTTCTCAGTCCTGTGCTAGAAGCAGTGCTTTGGAGCCTAGCCTGTACCTTAACCCCAAATAACCTGTCCACTACTCAGAAGACATAGTGAAGAATGCAAATGCATAGTATTGTACCACACTATGCTGAGGGCCCACAGTACTAAGAAGCAATGAGGTAGCAAAGCAAGCCAGTGGACAGTGGCAGACCCTCTGCTACTCACACCCTGGAGCTACTGTTGGGTGGTGATAGCTGCTGATATTGTGAGTCCCCTGGATATCCCCACTCTGCTGTGGTCTCAATAGTTATCACAAACGAAGGTACCTGGAAAACCAATATCATGTGTAACTTAATAACTGCATTTCACATGCAGCATCATTTACATCTTAAGGCAGGATCTTTCTGGGGTGACTTCCTGGACTTCAATTTGGCGATCTTTGCAGCCAGCCTTCCTTCATGAAAGTCAACGGTTCTAGAAATCCAGTTGAAGTTCTCTTAGGAAGTGGTCATTTAGTATGGGGTAAAGGAGGGCACTTGGCAAGTCTCTCAGGCAGGGCACACATCAGCAACACCTTCAAAGATCTGTGTAGGGCCCCCAGCTAGTCTTCATTTTCCTGCACTCCTTCTTAGGTGAAACCCTCATTACAGTGTTTGCAGAGAAGAAAGAATAACCAGGGAGGAAAGGTAAGCAGCCTTGGGAAATAAAATTCCACTGGGCAATCGCAGGCTGGGTTCGCCTACTTTTGGGGAGCGGGGGGAAGGGAGGTGCCGCGGTGGGGGCGGGAGTCAAAAACCCTAATAGGAGTGTGCACAGTTAGGAACAAGGAGAGGTTCCATGAACTGTAGTGGGTTGCAGGCCAGCCGTTGGGGTGGCTCAGCGCGGGGGTCCAAGCACTTGCCATAGCCTTGGTGCCTTTTGCCCAGGAGGGGCGACCAGATGTGGGACACCAGTGAGGCTGGAAGAGAAAGAGCCAGAAAAGGGCCAGCGATCAGCCCGGGCACAGCCGGGGCCATGGCTTCCCAGTATCCCTCCGTCTCTACTAGCATCCTCCCTCTTTACTAGGCTCCTTCTCGGTTCTCCTTTCCTCCCTCCCACCCACACACCCACACCACCTCCGGGCCAAAAACGGGGCCGGCGCCTTTAAGAGGGAGCTTTGGTTACCCTGGGGGCGGGAACCCCACGGCAGATCGCGAGGCGGAGGCTCCAGTCGGCGATGCTCCTCACTTTCTGCTCCAGCTCCCGCCGCCACCGCCGCCTTCACAGCCACCTCCGCCTCCTCATCGTTGTCCTCCTCCYCTGCCTGGAAGCCCTGTTCTCAGCAGCGGAGGAGAGAAGTGCTATGTCAGGAAAGTTCCTGGAGGAACTGGATGAGGCCATGCTCCCCGRGCTCTTCCTGAGGCGCCCGCGCGCTGCCCTTTGTATGAGGTGAGCCTGGGGTCCTCGGCCCCCGGGACAGGTAGCCGCCCGGGGCGGGGCGGGGCGTGCTGGGACCCTCCGGGTGGGGACGGTGTGCGGTGTGGCAGAGGGCGYGGGGGAATTGAGGCTGCTGAGACTGAAGTTGTGCCAGAGCAGCTTGGGTTTGCGGTAAGATTTTTGCAGCTGGACTGGAGTCATTGCAGCAGCCAGCGCCACACACAGGGAGCTGGCGGGGACTCTGTTCCTGCGGGTGCCTGCTCGCCTCCCGAAGCCTCCCAGCCGGGTCCCCTACCGGCCGGAGCAGTTAGGCCTTCTAGGAAGCGGGTGGCTGCAGACCGGCACCCGGTGCCGGCTGCTCCCTGCCGGGCCGCCGGCTCCAGAAGCGAAGTGCTGTGAGCCAAAGGAAGGGGATCGACTCCTCTTGAACTTTTTACACTGTGATCTCGCCGCTCTTGGCCGAAATTCACCTTGTTTGCCCAGGTGGAAGGCTCCCTGCGAGCTCCAACAGTTCCAAGAGGTTCCCTCTTAGCATGCGGTTAAGCTTGTGGAGGAGCTATGTGTCTTTAGCCTTGGTAGGTTTTCAGCCTCGCCCTGATTTTGCTTCTGTCTCCCCTCTTAAAAAAAAAAAAAAAAAAAAAATTCTTTTTCTTTTCCTTTTTTCTTAAAGAAAACATATTTTGGAATCTCAGAGTACTTACAAAGCCTTCAAAAACATCTTTAAAAAGAATTTTCCCCCAGGGCTGGCCCAAATTTTCAAAGTGATCCTTTAGTCTTTGATGAAATATTTATATTCAGCCTCGACACTTATGAAATACAGCATACCTGTACTATGATGAAGTTTTTTTTTTTTCAGTGAGAGGATGAGGTTTAGCTATATCTTTAAGAATAGGATTTTCTTTGTTTATTGAGGAATTCATTTTTCATTCTTAGATTAAGAAGGATCCAACTAATTTTAGGAGTAACATTTCTAAGAACTGCAAATAAAACCTGATGTTTCTTGCATAATTTGATGTTGTTTCAGACAGTTTTATCCATGGATGAGGTATGTAATATGAAACCTAATACATAGGTACATTTATTACACAAGGGGGTAAGTTTTCTTTTTCTGTGTTTCTCATGGGTGAAGAAAACCCCATATACTCACACCCTATGCCTCTGGCCACTTCAGTCTATTCTTGTTTGTCTTTCCACTCAACAGTGTGTACATCTGATGTCAGCTGCAAATCAGAGGTGCTGATGAAAAGTACCTTTATTTTGTGAAGTACTGCAAAGGTAAAATTTTGTGGCACATTGATTACATCATCCAGATTACTTTGAATAATACAAATGAAATGGGAGAAGTTATTTGAAGAAAAGAGTGTCATGAAGTACTAAAATTTTCAAGTATATGCTTTACATGTAATTTTGTTTGTGAAAGACATGTACTACCCAATTAGAGGATATTGTAGGGAAATATCTTTTTTTGCAATGGGGAAATTTTGAAAGAAAACATCTTAAAATAACCATTAATATTGTAAAATTTTATATGGGACATAGATTTTTGATTCTGAGTATAATTTTGTCACTTTGCTGTAGAATATACCAGAACTGAAACTTAAAAACAAACAAAATCCCTCAGTTTCTCAAACATTTTTTCCAAAATTTGTAGCCAACTAAACATTTTTGGAGAAAAATTTGCTTAGAAAAGTCACAGACTTAAAAATCCTAACTCAGTTACTGTTGTACCATTAGGACTTCAGGATAGAAGGTAAGAATTTGGGGTTCAAAGATGGATGTGATTTAATTCCTAGAATTCCTTGATTAATGTGAGTTCCTTGAGAGTTCTTATAGGTTTATTTTATTTGGGATGATTGTTTCATGAATGGTTCTTTTTGAAACTACATATGTGTAAACACATGCAGACACACACACACACATACACACACGCATGGACTGATATAGGTCTTATAACTGTACCACACTTACATCTATATTTGTCTGTCTAGCCTAGTGAAAACCATTCAGGGATATGATGATACATATATACTAAGAACAGCAGGTCTAGTGGCTGGGGTTGTGGCTCAGTGGTAGAGTGCTTGCCTTGCATATGTGAAGCACTGGGTTCAATCCTCAGTACCATATTAAAAAATAATAATAAATTAACAAAGTTACAAAAAATAAACGACTAGCAGGTCTAAAGATTAGAAGCTAAAAATAGTTTTTATTAAGGCTTGTCAACTTTTTAGCATTTATGTTAAAAATGCTGTTTTCTAACTTTTCTGGAATTCTTAGAAAGCTTGGACCAGGAACCATATAATAATAATCTTAAGCATATATTTATCTGTTAAAATGGACTGAATTATTCCACCATAGATGACTGAACTAGGCATTTCTTAAACTTCAATAATTTATTTGTAGTAGAGGAATCTGTAGGAAAAAAAATTGCTTCACAGTATAGTGTTTTATTCTTTTAGCACTTCAGAAATGACCTTGAAGGCACTCATTCTTAAGTCTGGAACTTACAGAGTAGACCTCAAAAGTATAAGAAGCAAATCTTGGGGAAGTTCTGAAACTTTTATGTTAAACATGACTTAAGTAGCATTTGATTTCAGAGAGTGACCCATTAATGCATTAATGCTTGCATTACATTAATGCTATAATACAATGCTGCATTCACTGTAAAGAAAACTATCTCATCTTTGGAATATTTCTTAATCACATTTCTTGGTTGAAGCTACTACATTTCAGCAAATGTATGAAAATTAGAAATTAGATGAATATCATCCATCTAATTTTGGTTTTTGTCTAAATTTGTTAGGCTTTGCCCCAAAAGTGTTTATATTTGCTATAAATGTCCACTGTAGCAGGTGGCATACCCTTCCCCAATTTTCTTTGCAATTATGACATTCATATTTGTGATGAAGTTTTAGAATTCATATGAAACACAATAAGAACTTTAAAAGAGTTGACATTACTATGTCTTTAGCTTTCAAAAAAAAACTAATATTTGAGATGTTTGATTATGAGCCTGAGATCACAGACTTTCAAGGCCGATGGGATCTTGGTCAATTATAGTTTGTTTCATGGGAATTTTCTGTTTAAGGTCAGATGTGCCCTTAATTTGAACTGTGTGATCCACAAAATAGTGCTTTTGCAACCACAAAATGTGGAGAGAATTCCACATAATTTGCAGTGTGGGAAGCCTAACATGCTTTAGTGTTTAGTTGGCTAAAGGCAGTGTGCCATGCTTGTAAAAAATGGTTTCTGAGGCTGACAGCAAGCTGTTTCAGTCTTTGAGTTTGACACATAGGACAAAATGGCTTTTTACCTCTATGCCAGTAAATATGGACAGGATTGGTCAAATTAATTTCTGCCCATTTTTGTTTTTTTGACAGACAATTTAGAAAGCTCAAGAATGAAACTAGTTTAATATACTGGGATATACATCCATTTTCATTATAAACATAATGAATTAATTTGGATTTTAACATGGCTCTGGGGTCTTGGGCAAATGAGTATATATTTGTACTTAAGAGGGTAAGCGAGTGGTCACCTATTGAAATTAACAGTAACACTATTTTTATTAGTACTTCCTTTGAGTGATAATGCTAAAGAAATTACATTCTCTCAGGCCCAATTTAGATTAACAACATCCCCAGCCAGATACTATTTCAGACACTTGGCGTATATATTAATTGATTCTTAGATAATTTTCAGTTGAAACCCTTGTTTGTCATTATAGTTGTTTGCTTTATATACTTTTTTAGGAGTTTTGACCAAAGGTATTCGGTTAACTTCTTTGTCTCAATTGACTTAACTCAGTCTGTACAATTAAAACATTTGAAAACTATTTTGGACAATGTTTTTTAATGTGGAAACTTCTAAGCATCAACCTGGGAAAGGACAGTGCAGAAGGGACATAATTCTATATTATAATTGTTTCCTTCCAAAGAGAGGTGTCCTCACCTCCTCCCAGTTTTTAAAAAAACAAAAATAAATATATAGGCAGTATTTGAGAAAGATCATTCATAGGTTTTTAAAGATGTCTGATGTCTGGATAAGAATAAAGGTTTTCAACTGAAAGTTACCTAAGAACTGGTTAATTTCTGTGCCAGGTATTGGGTTCCGAATCTCTTGCTGAGGGTGCCTGCTGTAAGTTTTTTCCTCTTATTAGATCCTGGGAGGATATAGACAAAAGGAAGTTTTGGGAGAAGGAACTATTCTAGGCCTAGCACCTATTGCCTTACAGAGGGAAGAATGTTTGCCTAAATATGTATTTGTAATATAATACAGTCTTTTCATCATTTTAACTTATTTTTTTCCATTTCCTCTGGGTTGTATGTAAAGCAGTCTATCTGCTTCATTTTGATGAAACCTGCATAAACCATGATGCTATCTAAAATTTTTACACTATCCAGAACTAACCGAGGTCTGTTCTTCAGTTCTCTCAGCTCATTCCCACTCAGTATTTCTTCAAATGCTCTGCCTTCTCTTGCATTATCCAGTTGTTTAATAATGTACGTGTGAGTTTTGGGTTTAAGGCTCTCATATAACGGTGTAGTAATGATGTTGGTAACTTCTCATTTTGATTTCTGCATTTTGCGTATAGTTGCCATTGTAAGATTTCAAATCTTTGTTCTCAACTCTAACACTTTTTTATTTTTGTGAAAATGACAAATGTTATAGAAAATTTTAAAAATCCAGACAAGAAAAGAAAAAGATTATGTCTACAGATAACTATTGTTATCATTTTGTTTTTTTATAGACACACATATATATATACACACATATGTATATATACACATATGTATATATACACATATATATTTATATTCATATATAGAAAAATAAGTTCTAGAAATGGCACTTTTATATATTGTTTTGTAATTTTAACGTAAAGATGAACCACTGCCATTTGCGTCCAGCACAGATGGCTAACTCAAGGTCACTCAGGGGAAATTCTGAAGGTGTTAGAAATAAAACAGACACACAATGTACTTTTAAACCAAGATCCAGGAGGGTTCCTCTGC